AAAAGAAAAACAAAGCCAGAGGTACCACACACTCTGATTTCAAACTATACTACAAAGCTATGGTAATCAGAACAGTATGGTATTGGTATAAAAACAGACACACAGATCAACAGAACAGAGAACCCAGAAATAAACCCATGAATATATGGTCATTTACAACAAAGGAAGCATGAATATATAATGAGAAAAGAACAATCTCTTCAATACACAATGCTGGGAAAACTGGACAACTGTATGCAAAAGAATGAAACTGAACCAGTATCTTATATCATAACCAAAAATTAACTCCATAACAACTCTTACACCATATCCAAAACTGGATCAGAGACTCGAATGTAGGACCTGAAATCATAAAACTCCTAGAAGAAAACACAGATGGTAGGTTCCTTGACATCAGTCTTAGCAGTATTTTTTTGGATCTCACTTCAAAAGCAAGGGAAACAAAAAGAAAACAACACTACATCAAAGTAAAAAGCTTCTCCACAGCAAAGGAAACCATCAACAAAGCAAAAAAGCAACCTACTGAACGGGAGGAGATATTTGCAAATCATGTATCTGATAAGGGGTCAATATACAAAATATATAAAGAACTTTAAAAACTCAATAATAAACAACAACAAAAGCCCAAACAATTCAATTTAAAAATTGTCAGAGGACCTGAACATTTTACCAAAGAAAACATACAGACAGTCAAAGGGCACATGAAAAGATGCTCAACATCACTCACCATCAAATCACAACCACAATGAGATATCACCTCCTGCCTCTAAGAATGACTAGAATCAAAAAGAGAAAAAATAACAAGTGATGATGAGGATGTGAACAAAAGGGAACTGTTGTGCACTGCTAGTGGGAATGTAAACTGGTACAGTCACTATAGAAAACACTATGGAGGTTCCTTAAAAAATTAAAAATAGAATTACCATATGATCCAGCAATTCTGCTACTGGGTATCTATATGAAGAAAACAAAAACACTAATTTGAAGAGACACATGCATCCCTATGTTCACTGCAGCATTAGGTACAACAGCCAAGATACGGAAACAACCTAAGTGTTCATTGATGGATAAATGGATAAAGAAGATATGGTATCTGTATATACATAATGGAATACTACTCAGCCATAAAAAAAAGAAATCCTGCCATTTATGACAACATGGATAAACTTTTAAGGTATTACGCTAATCGATAAAAGTCAGACAAAGAAAAAGACAAATACCACGTGATTTCATTTATATGTGGAATCTAAAAAACAAACACACAAGGGGCGCCTGGGTGGCTCAGTTGGTCGAGCATCAGACTTCGGTTCAGGTCATGACCTCGTGGTTTGTGAGTTCGAGCCCCAAATCAGGCTCTGTGCTGACAGCTCAGAGACTGGAGCCTGTTTCGGATTCTGTGTCTGCCTCTCTCTCTGCCCCTTCCCCACTCACGTTCTCTGTCTCTCTCTCTCTCTCAAAAATAAACATTTAAAAAATTTTTTAAATTAAAAAAAAGACCACAAACACACAAACAAAACTAAACTCAGACTCATAGATACAGAAAACTGATTGGCAGTAGCCAGAGAGGAGGAGGGTTTGGATGGGAAGGGAGCAGAATGAGTGAAAAAGATTAAGAAGTATAAACTTCCAGTTGTAAAATAAATAAGTCATGAGGATGTAACATAAAGCACAGAAAATACAGTCAATAATATTGTGTTAATTTCATAAGGTGACAGATGGCAACTAGACTTACTGTGATGACCATTCTGCAATGTGTAGAAATGTCACATCGCTATGTTGTACACTTGAAACTAATATAATATTGTAGGTCAATTATACCTCAATTAATATAAACAGGAACAAAGAGAAAAAGTGAAAAAGAGGTCATTTTCTTTTTTTTTTTAATTTTTTTTTAATGTTTATTTATTTTTGAGACAGAGGGAGACAGAGCATGAATGGGGGAGGAGCAGAGAGAGAGGGAGACACAGAATCGGAAGCAGGCTCCAGGCTCTGAGCCATCAGCCCAGAGCCTGACGCGAGGCTCGAACTCACGAACCGTGAGATCGTGACCTGAGCCGAAGTCGGACACTCAACCGACTGAGCCACCCAGGCGCCCCGAGGTCATTTTCTTAAATAACTCAATGCCATTATCACATCTATCAAGATTAGTAATAATTCCTTGATACCATCTAATTACCCAGTTTTCTTATCCTCCGTATGTGTTATAAGTGGAAGTAACTTTAGAAACTCAGGTTTCCCTTTTTTTGATATGAATACTTCATTGGATATTGCTTCGTACTTTGTCACATCAAGAGATTCATGTCAGCCTTTTCCTACTTTCATGATGCGAAGATTGATTCAAATGATTAAAATGGTAACAGCTTGAGTACTCCATCAACCTCTCATCCAAAACTTTCAACTACTGATGATCATCCCCTGAATCAATTATCTCATGAGGGGCTGCAAGTGGTGGTATTCGAATTCCATCAGTCCAAGAACGCTTATGAGCTGGAATTCCTCCCTCTTATCAACTAGGCCCATTTTTGTATTCTAAACTACCGTCTGGACAGGAAAAGCAGATAACTACTTCTTTCTTTTTACTTTCAATTTTCAGAGGAAAGGGTTGGTGTCTTAGTTACTATCAATAAAGCTTATTTCTAACTAAACAAGAATCAAAATAAAACTTTTTTTTAATAAAACACCTAAACAAAAGGAAAAAGAAGAGATCTGTAAGCAATCCAACTAATTCTGAAGAGTATTAACCAGTGACTTCAGATTTATCCAGGGACATAAAAGTCCAAAGATATAGGGCAAGCACAAGACTCTCAGTGGAAAAGGAGTATCTGGTCAAATTCTTGTTCCTTTGATAAATCAACAGAAAGATGTGTCCAGAGCTTTGATGTCTTTGCAAAATGACCACCTTTATTCCAAACATGACTTAAAGGCAAACCTCAAACTGAGATCTGACTTTGTAAAAAGCTATACTTAAATAGGCTGACTAAATAAAAATGTCCTGTAAACACCATAAAGTAAATTGGAATACCCTGAGATACAGTGAGTCTGGCATGTGTCCCACCACAACAGTCTCTGCTGCTTAGCTGGTCACATTTCTGCATCCTCATCTTCCCCACTACATGTATAAGGGCACTGACTCCAAAGACAATTAGCCATGAAACTATGTCCCAGTAAGACAAGATAATGTGTTCAAGTCCTTGGGAATCTGGGCTGAAAATAAGGGAAAACTTGGGCTGCTTTCAGTGGATAGAAAGAAAAGGCATGGACTGTGCTTGGGCCATACTAATGGCATAGGAAAAGAAGTAAAGACCCTGAACTCTCGTTATGAGCCCTTGAGCCATCATGAATCCAGAGCTCCCTTCCTGCTCTGGTCTCCAGGTCTGTCCTGTGATAGCTCCAGATGTCCTTGTTAGTCTCCTCCTTATTGTTCCACAGATGTCTGTTTGTGAGGGCTGCCATAACAAAGCACCACAGAGTGGGGGGCTTAAAAAACAAATTTGTTTTCTCAGGGTTCAAGGTGTCAACAGGGTTGGATCCTCCTAAAAGACAAGAGGGAAGCATCTATTCCAAGCTTCCTTGTAGACAGCCATTTTTCTCTTTGTACATGTCTGTGTCCAAATTTCCTCTTTATATAAGGACACCAGTCATCTTGGATTAAAGCTACCCTAATGACCTCATTTCCTTAATTACTTCTTTAAAGACACCATCTTCAATGGTCACATTCTGAGGTACCAGGGGATAGGGCTTCAATGCATGAATTTTGGGGAATACACATTTCAGCCAATAACAATATGTTTAAAGTAATCCCCTCTTTGCTTAAGCTAGTTTAAGTGAGTCTTGTTGGTTGTAACTGAATAAACCTTACCAAAATAGCTACATTTTCTGGTCTTCTATTAATTAATTATTCATGTGTTTCTTTCAATCCTCCCAAGTAGTCTGAGCTATAAGAAAGCAATAACATGCTTCAATAGTTTGTCGAATTCCACCTCCACAGACCTAGTACCCTACAAACAACTGGTACCAAAAACATAAAAGGGCACAGAGAATTCTGTAGAAGGTGCTGTTCCCTCCCACACAGATCACCTTTCAGAACTAAAGTATGCATTCTCCTAGCAACCAGGAAGGTTGACTGCTCCTAGTTCATAGCTAAGTCCTATCCCAAGAAATGCCAACAGAGGCACTTCACCTGAGGTAATTCCCATTCCTTGCAGGCAGTCTACATCCAATCATGCATAAGTCCAAAGGCCCAACCTTCTTGTCTCCATTCAAGACATCTCTGAAGAACCATCCCAGCTCCAGAGCAACTTGTGGGATTGGCTGTGGCCTATATGCAAGTGAATTACAATTAACTCTCTCTCTGCCCAATCCTGTTTCCATCCCCCACCCCCACCCCACAACAAGGTGTTCATCCTGAGACCAGTCTCCAATAAACTCCCGGCACACAAATCTCTTAGTCTATTTCCCAGAAGGTATGATTTACCCTATATTCTATGGTTAACACTGTTGACAAAGATGAAAACAAAATTAGGAAAAATTATCCAGGTACTGGGTTAATTTCCTCTTTCCCATTTCTTGCTTTTAAAGAATCCTGTCCATCTTCTATTCCCTTGCTAGAGAAAGGGTCCTGTTCCTTCCAATCCCCTCCAACCTGCCCTGTGCAGATAGCTACTATATCCTTCCCCCGCTCCTATCCTCCAACCCACAAGCAGGAACCACAGACCTCCTGCTCTCCCTGGACACAGGAAGCGCCTCAGCGCCACCCCCCCCCCCCCCAGCCCCTTGCCTAGGCTCCTTCCTCTGGGTCTGTGGCTGCATTTCTGAAGTCTGGCCCCTTCAGTGCCTGGCACCAGGTGAAAACCAAAGGACAGGAGGGGGTGAACCAGAGGAATTCATCTAGGAGGTGAAGCTGGTCCTGTCACCCTTCCCTGGCTGCTCCCCAGCTGGCCTTTCCTTGGGAGCCTGAGTTCAGAAAACAAGAAGTTCTGATTCTGAGGACAGAGAGAGACATGGGCCCTGCTGGCAGTGCCTTCCTACTGTCTCTTCTGCTGGGTGAGCCTCTGGGGTGGGTAGCATGGGAGGGGAGAGGCAGAGGTTTTTGGTTCAACAAGTTATCATATAGAATAATATGTCACTTCACCCTTGGGATATTACTTATGAACAGTGTGTCCTGACGAAGTGCTGAGGGGATACTATATGTGAAGCAGTAAACAAAATAAAGATCCTTACCTTCATGGAGCTTATAATCAATTCACTTATTAAATAATATGTAATGTAAAATTTAAATATGTAAATTTTAAAGCCGGTTAGACAGTCATAAAGGTTATGAAAGGAAAGGGGCATCAGGAGTGCAGGGGCAGGAGGTGTGCTGTAATTTTCAACAGGGTAGTCAAGGAAATTTCACCAAGGAGTCATTTGAGCAAAGCCCTGCAGGAGATGAGTGACTTAGCTACAAGGATCTAGGAAAAGAGCATTTCAAGCAGAGGGAACTGGAAGTATAAACGCAGGTCAGTGATTTCAGGAATAAGCCTGTTAACTTATTATTCTGGCCCACAGTGATTTAAAAGCAGGGTAGGCCGGGGTACCTGGGCGGCTCAGTCGCTAAGCATCCAACTCTTGATTTCAGCTCAGGTCATGATCTCACAGTAGTGACATAGAGTCCCGTGTTGGGCTCTGCACTGGGCATAAAGCCTGCTTGAGATTTCCTCTCTCTCTCTCTTTCTCAAATAAATAAATAAAAATAAAGGCAAGGTAGGCTGAAAGCAGCAAAAGGGTAACACTGCAAAGTGCCAATTCAGTTAAAGAAAACAGTTCCTAATCCTCAAAAGCATCTGAAGGCATCATTGTGTTTGCAACCTAATATACTTGATATTCCTGATGACAACCTTGAATCTTCAGTAAAAGTCAAGTTATGTTTGATGTATGCTGCTAAAAGAAGACAGTGTGTAATTTTCAAGATTCACACTAATGGGCAGACATTTATAAAAAGTTTCTAAAAATTTGGCCTTTAACACAAATCTGAGAAATATTTCAGTATCCCACATACTTAAATATGTGGAAAGCCTCTCCTCTCAGTGAATCCAGACATAAGATGCATTATTATATATTAAAGATATGGTGTCTTTCTTAGGGTCTTGCCCATGCTCTTCTCCCAAAAAGAAAGACCTGCCATCAGATGAGTGGTCTGTAATTAGACTGCTGAGTTTGAAACTGGGACGGGATGGAGGATGGAGGCTGGGAGGACCTGGGTCCCAGGAATGGATGGGAGTTTGAGGATGATGAGAAGATGAGGTCCAGAGGAACAAGACACCCAGTGTGCCACACTTGCCTCTCTCTTCTTTTTCTAGTATGTGGACGACCTGTATACTCAGGCCGTGTCGTGGGTGGCCATGACGCTGTTGCAGGGCATTGGCCAGTCAGTGTGCACCTGCACCAGGCCCATGTCTGTGGAGGGTCTCTCATCGGTGACCGTGGACACTGACAGCAGCACACTGCATAAAAATGTGAGTCCTAGCTGGTGGCTAGCACACAGATAGGTTCTCAACAAATACTATGCTTGAATGACTTTATGAATGAACCAACAGACATATGGAAGTGGTAAGAGGGGTAGGCACAAGGAAATCCAACATCACCTTGGACTAGGGATAGGATGTAAAGGTAGAGAAAGAAATGATGGAGAAAGGCACTGTATTAAAAACTTCTCTTACTTTGTGCCAGATCACTTCCTAAACATCAGCCAGGGAATCTTAAGTTTTTCTGGGTCACAAACACAATCTGAGCAGTCTCTCAGAGCCACTGCTGTAAGAGAAGCAAGATGCCACGCAGTGAGTAGCAGCAGGGAGAGGCCTGTGTGAAACTAACAACTCCAGCCAACAGCTAGTGAAGACCTGAAGCCTGCCAACATAAGGGAGTTTGGAAACAGATCCTCCTGGAATCGAGTCTTGAGATGATGGCAGCCCACCCTGATTAGAGTCTTGTGAGAAATCTTAAGCCAGAGGCTCACACCTGATTCGTGACCCACAGAAACAGTGAGATAAATGTTTGGTTTTTTAAGCCTCTAGGCTTTATGGTAACTTGTTATGCAACAACAGATAGCTTATATATTTAGAAATCAAAACAGCAGGGCTTTTCAATGACAATACTGAAAGCTCAAAGGAAATACAGCAATAACTTCAAAATGCTGAAAGAAAATTATTTCCAATCCAGAATTCGGCCCATATGCAGAGTACTGATCAAGTGTGGGACAGAAACAAGATATTTTCAAATCTACAAAGCAGCAAAAATGTCACCTCTCAAAAAAAACGGTTACTTCTCATGCACACCTTCTCAGAAAGCCCTAGGAAAATGTGCTTCATCAAAATAAAGGAGAGAAAAATAGGAAAACATGGAATACAGAAAAAAGGGGATACAACACAGAACAGAATCCCCAACCCCCCAAAATGGGAGAAAATGCAGGATCAAACTCTAGCCATAAGCATATGAGGAGACCACAAGAGACAGGAGACAACAAAAAAAAGAATAGTTAGGAAGACAGGAAAGGAGAAAAGCAACAAACCAGCCCTGGTACAAGCTGGAAGTAGCCTGGTTAATTCTAGGGTCTCTTACCATCCTTTCTCACCTAGAGACTTTGCGCTACACATAGGCAGCTTGTTCTCAACCAGCTGTAGCACCTAAGCATGCTTCACTTTTATTCTCCCTTTCTCTTCCCCTTAGGAGCTGGATTCTTTTGTTATATATGGTATGGCTGGGATCAATTCACACAGACCACTCAAACCAAAGTGTGAAGCATCATGTATTCAAAATTATTATCCATCCCCAATTTCAACATATAACTGCAGACATCACCTTGTTGAAACTGGTCTCTAGAGTCACCTTTTACTTCGTTCATCCTGCCCACCTGCTTGCCCCACATTACAAAGCGGTTGACACTTCCAGGCTCTTGCTGGGTGACTGGATGGCGAAAGGTTACGGAAAGTGAAGGTGAGAATGGGTAGAGAAAAGGGTTTTATCCACCATCCTCTTGTACCCACTTCAGAACATCTGCATTTTAGGCATACCATTACTATGGCAAGTTATTTTTTTTAATAAACCCCAACTTATTGATACTATATATAAGTCTTCAAATGTCTTTTTTCACATATGCTTACTTAATTTACTCTTATATCCTGCCTAGAGTCTAGCTATAGCTGCAAGAACAGATACTAACAATTTGAACACATAATTACCTCTTTGAAACAAAGGTTAACAAACCTGATCTAAGTTTGGAGAGTCTAGTGTTTGTGAAAATCTGTTTTTAAAGTGTTGTGTCAACTCTTTCCCAGTGAAGACAAGAAGTGATCTGGGAGCAGACGAATGGGAAAGCAAGAAGTTTTAGAGTACTTCAAATACTCACATCTTTACTTAATCAAACTGTATCAGAATTTCTCTTTATTTAGAACACCAGGAATACCCCACATTGGCATATTAGAAAAACATTAAAACAAATGGAAATAATTTTGAATCATTCATTGTTCTAGATTAGCTTTACCAAAAAAAAAAATCTTCCACTAATAAATATGATTAGAAAGTGAGGGGGCACCTGGGAGACTCAATTGGTTGAATGTCCGACTTCGGCTCAGGTCATGATCTCGCTGTTTGGGAGGTGGATCCCCGCGTTGGGCTGTGATGACAGCTCAGAACCTGGAGCCTGCTTCTGATTCTGTGTCTCCCTCTCTTTCTGCCTGGCCCCCCTCAAAAATAAATGTTAAAAACTTTTAAAAAGAAAAAAAGAAAATGATTGTATTCTGCTTTTGGATTCCCATTCAGGGATTTCCACAAATCACAACTGAATGTTGTCCTTGCCACTTTCCAGATTGCTTTTCCTTTCATTCCTGTCTGTCTTTACAGATAGTGATTACCCTTCCACGTTCCAGGAAGCAAAAATAACCTGCCAGGCCTGTGAACTCTACAACCTAACTGGCTCCATGTTGCCAGAGTTAGACCAAGTCATCAAAGAAGATGAGATATGTGCTGGTCATTCAACTAACAAGAAGGATAGCTGCAAGGTTAGGGTTCACTCTTCTTGTTTTTTTAAGGAGGCCTTAATTTAGATCCAAGTTTTCCTGTAGACAACAGTAGATTGGGAATTAGAAGACAAAGGGTCTGACAATAATTCTTGTGTTATGCTCAACAAGTCACTTAACCTTTACCGATTGATTTAATCTCTTCAAGTTTTGATCTAGACAAACGCAAGCCATTGGTTACTGGGTTTCCACAGACGTGTATATTTTTATAAATATATTAGCAGGGTGACACAGAATTGCCAACTTAATTTTTTTTTTCAAGTAAGAACATTTCACTCCACACTTAAAAGATGTCATTCCACTGTCTCCTGATGGTAAGTGTCCAATGGGAAATCATCCATCATTTGTGTCTTCCTCCACTTAATGAATGCATTGTGTTGCTTTGCTATGGCTCTTTTCAATAAAATTACCTTCATATTTGATTATCAGAAGTTTGTGATGTGCTAGGTATGATTTTCTTTGTATTTATCCTATTTAGGATTCACTGATTTTTTGGTTTTTGCTTTCATCAAAACTTGAGAATTTTTCATTCGCAATTTCTTCAAATATTTGGCTTCATTTCTCTCTTTTCCTCTTCTGGTTGAAATAGAAAAATGTAAGTAACACCTTTTGATATTTTCACATAGAGTCTCTGATACTGTTTTATTTTTACCTTGTTCTGCTCTTCAAATTGGATACTTTTAAATTAATCTATATTCAAGATCATTGCCTCTTCTTCCTATCATCTACAATTTAGTGTTAAGTTCATCCAGTGAAATTTTTCTTTCAGATATTTTATTTTTTAGTCCTAGAATGACCATTTGGTTTCATTTCCTTTCCCTCTCTCTTCCTCTCTTTCTCCTCTCTCACACACACATTTTTCTGTATCTCTGCCAACAGATATCTGTATCTCTTGATATCCTATCTGTATATTCACTACCTTCAAATCAAACAACAATGGAACGTGTATGGTTTCACACCCACCAGGATAACTATAATCAAGGTAGATAATAACCAAGATTGATGAGGATGTGGATAAATTAGAACCTTCATACACCTTGGAATATTGTCTAGCAGTTCTTCAAAAGGTTAAATATAGAATTACCATATTACCCAGGAATTCCACTCTGGGTAGACACCCAAGAGAAATAAAAACATATGTCCACGGAAAAAATTTTGCATGAATGTTCACTGCAGCATTATTCATAATAGCCACAAAGAAAAAATGATCCAAATACCTATCAACTGATGACTAGATAAACAAAATGTGGTATATCCATATAATGGAATATTATTCAGGCCATAAAAAGGAATGGAGCATCGATATCTGCTACAACAAGGATGAATCTTGAAATGAATATGTTAAATGAAAGAAGACAGACACAAAACATCATATATTATATGGTTCCATTTATACAGTATGTCCAGAAATTGCAGATCCACAGAGACAGAAAGATTACCAGTTGGCCTAGGGCTGGGAGGAAATGAGGGTGACTATTAATGGGTATGGGGTCTCTTGGAGGTGATGAAAATGTTCCAAAATGGGTTGTGGTGATGGGTGAACAACATTTGAATGTACTAAAAAATACTGAATTGTATACTTTAAATGGGTGAACTGTATAGTATATTAATTATATTGCAATACAGCTGTTAGAAAAGAGACAGCAAGATTGAGAGACATACCATCACCTACTATCACTATCATTTTATATAAGAAAGGATCACTTTAACACTAAAAAAAAAAAAAA